CTTGCCTCGCGGCCGCCTGCGCCCTGCCCGTGCTCGTCCAGCCTCAGCCGTGCCGCGCCGCCGCCCCGCCCGTGCTCGTCCAGCCTCGGCCGCACCCTCGTTGCGGCACCGTCCCGCCCGCGCACGCGCCCCAGCCTCTCGGTCTAACTGATTTGTGGGCCAGAGGGAAGGCACGGGCGGACAGGAGCGGACGAGAAGGCGAGGAGAGTGTCCGTTTTCTGTCCGTTCGGGAGTATTCTTGGACCAAGTTTGCTCCAGATTTGGAGTTGGGCGGAATAAAAAAAGTGTCCAAAAGACAACTCTGTCCGTTTGGGTATTACCACTGGGTCGTATTTTATCCCAAACGGATAACTTCGGACCGGATGGGTCACGCGGTGGAGTTGACCTTGTTAGCTTTTTAATTTTGATCATGTATCTTCATGTTTATTTCAGTCTTGCATGTAGTAGTTGCAGGTAGAAAAATGTGTGTGTACGGAGGTACGTGTGATACGTACGAGTCAGTAGTTTCAGATAGGAGAAGCATGCATGGAGAAAGTCCGAGCTGCCGCGTGAAGCTGGCTAGCTTGCCGTGTGAGACGGTGGTGCATGATGGTCTGAAGCCAACGGCCTGCGCAAGTTGAAGCCGATGGATGGGTGAGTCCGTTGCGACCTTGAGAAAAGGTCCGTAGTTAGATAAGATCAATTCTTGTTAGCTGCATATGTGCGTGTGCTGTTAGTGGCCTGGGTTAGTGCATGCGTGGGCTGGTTAGTGGGCAAGTGTAGTGCCCGGTGTGCGTGCATGAGTACTACTTAAGGGCTGTAAAGCATATTTGTTTTGGTATAAGAAGAAATATAGAGAGGGGAAAACGTCGGCTGTGCAGTACGGCACCAAAATTCCTTGTGTTCTTGTATGTGTTGTGTGAAACAACCAAGAAAGAAGAGGGCTGAGAGAGTCGGCTCCAACATACCTTAAAGGACGAGCCCTTCAATAAGGCTCGTCTTGCTGCCGTTGAGACGGAGGCCATCTGCCGACACGAGATCGAGCGACCAAGGACCGAGGTGTGCTGGGAGCTGAAGCAAATGCTTCAGACGATGGAACTGAATGTCAGATTCATTCATCTCAGGGACGTGCTCAAGTGAACCAGGGATCCCGATCCATCCATCTGGGAGCAAAGAAATCAATACAGGATCCACCCGGTCCAACAAGTGAACACATGCCAATCTGGGAACAACAGGTACTTTTAAGCAATATAACAGTTTCAACATTGTTGGCAAACATAGTATTGCTACACTTGGATAAGAGACACTATGAAGACCATTCCCGTTCTGTTGAAAATTGTTACTATATTTGTACAATTATTGATGTTCTGTTTGTCAAATTACATGCAGACAATTATTTTCCGTAACCAAATTATGCCCCTTAACCAAAAATAGTCATGTCAAGCTATTTCAGTATAAACTACTCCCTCCGTTCCTAAATACTTGTTTTTCTAGGCATTTCAACAAGTGACTATATACGGAGCAAAGTGAGTGAATCTACACTCTAAAATATGTCTACATACATCCGTATGTAGTAGTCATTTGAAATGTCTAGAAAGACAAATATTTAGAAACGGAGGGAGTATGTGTTAACCAAATTATGTTTATATTTCTATGCTTTTGGAATATAACTCCTATCCTAATCGATTTTTTCACACAATACATCCCTTGCTCTCAAGGACACCTATGTTTACAACGGTGGCATTGTTACACAAGCGCTAATGGGCAACCTAAGAGCATATCTATCATAATCATGCATTTTGAATAAGCAAGTATTAAGCGGTAACATGAACATGACACTATATTCTAAATTCATAGCACCTTCAACGCTGAACTGGAATTGATTAATCATGTGTGAGCATGTGTCAAGTCAAACCACTTGATTACTTAAGAGGAGAATACCATATTAACACACCACATTATGCCACTATTTAAGACACACACACGCGCACGCGCGCACACACACACACGCACACACACACGCACACTCACACACACACACACAATATTACTATTAATCACCCATGGTGCAGAATAATTTCTTCACCTAAAAGGTAATCTTATGATCGTTTTATAAGTAAATTAAGTTTAGAATATAAATAGTTACATTCATATTGATTCACTATATAAAATTTGGCATAAGAAAACAAAAATATACTCCCTCCGTTCCTAAATATAAGTTTTCTTTAGAGATTTCAAATGGGCCATCACATACGGATGTATATAGACATATTTTAGAGTGTATATTCATTCATTTTGCTTCGTATGTAGTCACTTGTTGAAATCTCTAGAAAGACCTATATTTAGGAACGGAGGGAGTAGGTCATTAGACCAAAAAAGTTGCATTTTCTGTATATTTTACATTATATTTTTATGTTTGTAATTTTACATACATAAAATATTTTGTACGGCGCCTATATATTTCCTTATGTTCTCTTTTTACGTATGAAATAATACAAAAATTACGGAATCTATATTTACGGTGCATTGACGTTAAAATAAAGGGGGGGGGGGGTGAAGAATAACTATTCCCCACACAGGATGACGAATACATGCTTTTAGTTAATTGAAACTCAATATGAAAAATCTTGAATCATTAAACTCTCGTTATGCACAATATGACTATCATAGAAACTTATGAAAGAACATGCGGTGCC